GACAGGTGGCACAACTCAATCTTGTGCCATCAAAAGTATAGGCAAATGGTGTAACAATGAAAAGTAGAGTGACGGGAATTAGTGCGCGATTCTTATTTCACTTCTAGAAGGATTTGCCACAATGATCACAGCATTGAGAAGCTGAAATTTATGTAGTCAGTCATCTTGAAATATTTTGGTTTGCATTACTGCGTTCCACTTATCGCCGAAGTGTAATCCTCGTTGAATTACTGCTGCAAAACATGGAAGAATGCCCGTCTACTAGCAAGATAACAAGCCCCTTAATTTCGCCAGCGTAGTGTTTGGATGAACTAGATGAGCAATTGCCATCCGAGTGGCTGTAGTTCCCCACCACCAATCTAACCGCATTCACATCTCTCGGTCACAACTGAATATGAAAGAGAGGCAATTTTTCCGCTTTGAATCCTTTAGTAATTTTGTCAGTGGATCTTCTAACATCGCGAGGATCTGAAGGATTAAACACTTCTACCCACCACGTATTATGAAATGCAAAATAAACATGCGTCTTACTGTATAGTTTTGGTAACCGAGACAGCGTACGAAAGCAGGCATGACAAATACCCAAATATGGGAATTCCCCAATTGTGTATTATCAATCAGAGGCAAGGAAACTGCCATCAACTCAGAGCTAAAGTGGTAACGATGACGTGAATTTAACAAACAATGTAGACTGCTGAAGCTGCATTAAGGGACTACACATTTATCTACGAGGAACACATGAAGAGATGATTTGCTAAATTACTCTTGTTAATTGAGCATCCGCATGCACAGACACATAGTACTAGGAAAAGGATGAAGGAAGTGTTGCTGAAGGAGGATAATGGGACAGGATATGAAAAGCAGAAGCTGATGGAGAGGTATTGGGAAGATCACTACCACCACAGAACACAAAACTGCTCCTATGCATTTGCGACGGCGTGCATGAAAATCCTTAGATATTAAAGCCAGTCATATTAACGTGCTGCAAGAGGATACCCGATTGTCACTGAAAATCTGCTTGATGTGGATGTCCTCACCATCATGCATCGCACCAAGTAAAAGACCCCAACATCACCTGTGTAGCATGACGCTTGAGTCCACGATGAATGTCGGGTCGATGATAACGACCGCAACCTCCTTACTGCTACCTACTGCAGTAATAATGATTGTGCGTTACTTGCTCCTCTTCTTGGAACCAATTAGACTGCCTACAGCAGGCACAACAAATGGTCCACATGAACATCAAATTAGCGGAATCCCGGTGAATACCAATTTCAGCGACCTTGGAAGTGAATTTACATCCCCTTGCACCTTTCAGTCACAGCTCTAATGTAACATAGAAAATTTAAGATCATTCACTGATGAACCAAATACTCATATCTCTCTGAACTGATGGTGAAAGGAATTCCAGAATTAACAGTGGTGAGTTTTGCACATGCACCGCAATTAGAATTGATTCAAATTGTCCTTCAGCTACCTGCTAGACTTCTTCCAATTCCCACCTGGTTAAATGTACAAGAAGTTGTAGGCCATGGAAGGGATCCTCTACTTGACAAAGTTTACCGTTAATAAGGTCTGCCTTACCAAAACCAAATAGGCCATGATCAGTCCACGGTGGCTTCTCTATTTATCCCTCTAACCCACTACCAATCCATACATTCATTAAATTTTATCGTTCAATTTGTCAACTAAAAGCAAAACTATTAACAGCTACTGTTCAGCTATTAAAATTAGTTGAGTGTAAGTTTGTAGCACACACTGTTAATTTATGGCGTGGCAAGATGCAGGGACTGCTGAGAGACGCTAAGCCGAACCGTTGTGAATCAGATGCACCAGTGGTCCCCACATACATGCATGTGAATGTTTTAACTATGGAGCATTATCAATCACATCAAACGCACATGCAATCACCTTCCCGATCATTACCAACCACACGGGATTGCAAATGGGTAGTGTGGTTTGTAACTTGATTATTTATTAAACAAATTACACAATATGCGTTTAACCTGAGAAGGCTTTAGGAATGTGAAGCATCTGTTTACACTTCGCTTCATTTCGTTATTGTTTTAGTAGCCACAACTCCTTAGCTTCAACACTCGTCTTATCACTTGCTCAAGTGTGTTGTGTCGTCACATGCGGTAAGGCAGCATAACCTGCCGAAAAGATTTGGTGTGCCAATTTAGTAAGATGATGAAGTAGTTTGGGGGTTCTACTCACCCAATGAAACAAATCATTCACGCGTTCAGTAGACGGTAAGACCATGAATGACGTGCTAACGAGTCTTAAAAGCGCATACATATGATGACAAGCCTTGAGGTCCTGTATTTTATAAAATCCCAATGAGTGATGCTGACAAATTGTCTAATTATTTGCCAACATGTGTCTAGACATTAGGATTGTTTGTGTTTAAGTTCATAGTTGTGATTTTTGAAACCTATAAACGGATGCCTTGCGGCAAAATCCCAAAGAAGGATGAAAATTATTTTGAGATTATAAAAGGAGAAGGAAGGAGTACGATGCTATTAAGATTGTTTGTAAGGGGACTTAAGATAGATTAAAGTCGAAAAGTTAGAGTGTGATGCTGGTTGAATTTACCAGTTACGTGGTGCTGGAAATGGAAGGAAAATTTGCATAATAGGCTTAAAAATGGCAGCTTATTTAAAATGGCTTAAAAAAAGCCCGAAAGTCTATGGTATTTTATTCCGTCGTTGTACTTG